GGGGAATCGCATCAAACTAAATATAAAAAATTTGCATTTTTTAAACAAGTATTGTCATTTGCGATTTAAGTTTTGCTGAGATTAAAAACTAGTTCTATATTTCTATTTAAACATACACAATCTTTTTCTTTCAGGACAAAAACAAATCTACAAGCAAACTTTCTTACTTGAGGTGGGAAAATGGGAAAGTACCATACATTTTATCAGATGCATTTTGTAAGTGATTAACTTTTATAAATATCGTCACCAACAGCTTAGTTTTCAAAATACTTTTGTTTTGAATACATTAAAATTCATTTGTTATCCAATCCTAGTGAATTCAGAAATTTTTAGCTCGTATTGCAGTTTATAACGAAATAAATTTTTCAATTCCTTTTTTGTCAATCAATCTATTTGATATTTATCTACTGACTTGCATCACGAGTGTGAATACTTAGAAAAATATAACAAAAAAGATTTTAAAAAATTCACTTTTTCAAATTTAGAGTTTAAGAACTTGCCCTACAGCTCGTACACCTGTAAAAAAGATCTGAACAGAACTTAAGCAAAAACATTGTTTTTTCAATTCAAACAAAATCACATGTATAGAAAGTATTTGGACAATATACCGTAAAATATCGCAAGATCCTACTGGTACGGTTGATTTTCTTAGCATTACATTACTAGATTTTAGTCCTACGATATTTATTTTTTAACGATCTAAAAAAAAATTTTCCTCTTTACACAGCACTGGTTAATAATTAGTTCATTCAATTGCGATTTTAAATAATTTAAAAAATATGGCAGAATTTCTCTTATTAAACATACACTTAAGGCCATTAAAATTGCTATACCAGGATGGAAAGCAAATAACAGAATATATTTATTGGGCACACAAATAGTGGGAAGAACAAGCGATTAAATGTTCAGGATATTTGGATGTATAGATCCTCAAGCAGCCTCCCCTGGCAGCAATAACAGCAGTTATTCTCCTGGGAATCGAGTCGAACAGAGATATGATAGTATGGGCGGGCACAGCATTCCCAACTAAAACATTATGCCGCGATTCATCGATCGTAGTGACTGTCGAGTGGTGGCGTGCCAGTCGATCGTCAACCACTGACCAGACGTTTTCAATTGGTGAGACAACAGGAGAACGTGCTGGCCAGGGCAAATATGTTCTGTGACAAGGAAGGTCAGTACAATTCAGACTGGCTTTAACACATCAGAAATGTAACGGCTGATTTATCCGTTCTGCGAATTTCATGTTTCGTCACTTTGAAACTAAACCGTGGTAACTCAAAAAAGCAAGTTTTTCAGGGGAGCGGTTTCTAATTTTTCCAAGATGGTGAATCGCGCCACAATGCCATAACGATTTATCTGCTCTCCAAATTAATTTTATGGAACTTATACAGATATCACGTTGTTTCTCTAAAAGGGAGATTTCTTTTACACAAAATGACCCAAATATCTCATTTTTCGATTTTTTATGAGTTACTACGGTTTAGTTTCAAAGCGACGGCTTGTGGCGTGTCGCTTTCCTGGTGTAGCAGTTTTTATGACCAGTCAAGCGGTTACACAGAAAACACTTTCAATATGTTTTAACTTATCCTTTCGTAGCTCCGAAAATGCACAACAATATACAGGAGACAATAAAATCTTGGAACAAAGATTTTAAAAACTGTCTAGAATGGTTACCACGCCAAGGGGATAGAGATTACATTCATATCATAAAAGGCTCCATGTAAGTAGGGTGTATTTTTGTAAGATGTACTGGCAAGCATAACACAGTGTGAGACTTTTCTTCCTGTTCTTTTCAACAGGTGCCACTCAGAAGTCGGCCGAATGAGGGGAAGGCAATTAATAGTCCTGAATGAAATTAATTGCAATATGACTGGTGATATACTGCATGAAATGAGTCATTCTGCTGGTCTTCACCATGAACATAATAGACCGGACAGAGATGACTACATCAAAGTGCTTTTTGGCAACATTGGATATGGTAAAAACTCCATTTGGTACAAACGCATTTATTCAATAACATACTTCCGCCAGCCCAACAAAATTATGATTATAGAAGCATTCAATATTAGAACAACAGAAAGGGGGGAAATGCACGATTTGCTGCAGTAGATTAGGAAATCCGGTATTCATCCCTATCAAAATGACAAATTATCCTAATGTTAATGGTGCTAATTTTGAAAACTTCATTTTGCAGCACAACATAAATACATTTCTACCTCCTGCTGTTACTTTTCTTTAAGCTTTAATAGTTTTACATACATATATCTATAATAATCTTAATTTTTAAATCATTAAAATCATTCTACGTTTTACGAAGCTCAAAGACATCAGTTTTTAAAATAAAATTTAGTTCTCATTTTAACCGAGTGCTATTGATTTTAACCTAGTTTTAGGCGTGGCATAGCCAAAAGACATGTCTTTTGCTCCAAAAAATTTCTATTACTCACGATTTTTTTGAGGGGAGCGGACACTTGGACTATCATTAGAATCAGATTCGCTGCTCTACTTTAATCTTGTGTTTCATATATGTTTGATTCTTATAGCAAATAATTTGAAAACTATTGAATTTTTTAGGATGGAGGACACAGTACAATAAAGAACCGGAATGGACCTTCGGAAAATTAGGACCATATGACTATTATTCTTTGATGCACTATGAAATGGGAAGTCCTGATAGAAATAAGCCGGCATTTGTTGTATTGAGAGGTAACATTGATGAGAACAGAATCGGACAAAGAATAGCTTTGTCTGAAGTGGATAAATACAAAATAAGGAATTTGTATTGCCCCAGAGAAAATATGAATGCAAAAGTAAATTTACAATCCTGGCTTATTTAACAAATAATTTCGTGCATTTGTATTTTTGAAAATAAAATAGCTTAATTCTAAAAGCAATGAAACTGGTTTTTCTTAAATAAGATCAATAAAAATTTGAAGGCATTAAGCACAAATGTTATTAATGTCACAATTTTGTATAAAGTTAAAAGTTCTTTTTGCTGTTTCTTCTTTCTCAAGATTATTTGTGAATCCTTTAAATATGATTGTTGGGAATTGCAATTAAATTTAATCACATCACTTAATTTCATCTCGTGAGCAAATAATCATCACGTGCTGAAGGTTAATGCCGGCTCTTCTTACACACACTGACACTCTGGCTCGGGAGAGAACTGAAACTCCGATCGGGAAGCGTGTTCTTTTTTGTTTGTGTCCCTGAATATTTAGTTATTATCAAGTACTATACCCATGTAATTAAAACTAGCGTCTCAAGGAAGAATTTCCTACCAACGTCACCTTGCAAACAATGTAATAAGTAACAACGAAACTCTTCATTGACACGGCAGTTAAGGGCATCTTTAGATCATCGTATCTCGTTCTCTTTCGTTTATTTGTTAAACTTTTTTTCTAGATAAGTTGATTTATTTTTTCAAATTTAGCTAAACTATTTGAACTTGAAGCTCTGCTGCCATGAATAGCTCTAGTGACAGGAACTAAAAGGTTTACAGTTATTTGAAATAGTGGGTGTGAGCCGAACAGATAATTGCCGATATACGTGGCTTTTCTTACAGAACCGTACAGAGAACTTGAACCGGAGGCTGCCAAGACTCTTCGATTTCAAGGTTTTTGAATCTCCCAAGAAAAACAATTTGCAAATGATTTTTAACAAATTCAAGGGAAGGAAAGTAAGAAACCTAAAAGGTTTCGTCAGTCAATGTCACTTTTCGTCATCATTAACAAAACAATGACAGTCTTTACTTACGGAGCAGCGCCGCTCGTACCTCTCGATCCAGAGAGTATATGAGGACTTCTATAGCCTATTACATAGTAAGAGAAGTTATTTTTTTGGTATGAAAATACTTGTTTTCGAAGCCTTTCTTTTTAACTACATATGTGTCAAACCTGTCAAGTGTTAAAACATTTGCTTAAAATGTATTTCTAAAGCAAAACAATTTCTTCTAGATAAGTGCAAGCACAGTTTTGGAGGCCACTTGCACAATCTTTTAAAAAGCGGGGGAAATAATTAGCACAAAGGAAGATCACTGGGGTACCTCGGGATTGTGACACCCGTATTTACCTATAACAGGTAAACCCCCTGAGGAAAATTTATAAAGAAATATTACATTAGTTACTTTATGATCCACAGTGAATATAGTTGCATATTTTGAAAAAGTTGGTGGCTCTGCAGCAGACACTAGGTGAATGCTTGCTCTTATTAATGTCTTGCTCTAATATAACAGCTTAATTTCAAGATTTGTTACATTTTATTTTAAAACTTGGCAATTCCACTTATTAAATAAAATGTTTAAGAATATTGCTTCCTTTATAAAAAGATCCATAAAGAATAATTAACTAGTAAAAATATAATTTAGAAAAAATGCTTGACTTTCAACAAGTCTAATAATTTCTTTAACAAACAAAAACAGGCTATACTGATATCCTTAATTTTAAAAGAACAGTAAGTTTAGATTTTAATAGATTTCATAATAAACAGGTGTATAAATTCTAGATAAATACAATAATTTGCATTAAAAACATAATGTATAACAATGAGTCAGCAATTATATCTCACTAGGGAAACTTGTTAACTGTTAAAACGGATATTTATTTATACAGAAGCAAAGTTTTAAAAGCATTTTTTCAAAAGCATAGTTTTAAAAGCCTTCCATGTTTGAGTAAAACCTATTATTGAATTATAAACATGTGGTCATTTAAGAATAGTATTTTAAAGCTATAAATTCAAAAAAGGAAGCGTTTGTATTTAGTGAGTTTAATTTCATCTTTGCTTGTTGAATAAAAATTTGCAGAAACAAAAACAAAAATTTTAAAATTACAAAGTTTTAGCCACCAAATACTTACAAAATAGTGATTCTTTTAAAATAAGTTAATGCATGATAAAAAAAAATACACATATATATGTATATATTTTAAATGATAGTTGTAGAAACTAGGCTGTTCATGGAAAAATCTAAAATACTTTGGCGTTTGAAATAAAACACATAATAATCAAAAAAAACATTTATTTGAAAAGCAAAAGACCTTTTAAAAATGAATACAAAAATTGAACTGTTAAGACAAATATACAACAATATTTAATAGTATTTACAAGATTTAATGTTGTTTATCAACAATATTTAACAGTATTTACGATGTATCAAACTTCAGGATACAGTTCCAAAATATCTTACTGCCTAATACTTCAGTTTATAACCAGTTAAATTTCATAAATATAAAAATATAATTTAGATATAAAATAAATCAATGAATTTTAAACTCGAACACAATATAAAAATTTTATAGTAAAGTGAAACCTCTCTGGAGTGACCACCTTCGCTCCATAGTAAAATGATCGTTAATGGAGATTGGTCATTCTTAGAGGTTACCCCATTGATTTTAAAATGTTATTGAAGATAAGTTTTTCGCGAACAATTTATTTTACTAATTTAAGTTTTTCAGTGGCATTTTCATGCTGCAGAAATGCACCTGTGTTGGTGTCACAAGAACGGGTTGATGAATAAAATTTAGTCTCAATAGAAATGACCCCTATTCATATAACCATGAGTGAAAACAAATTTACCAACTATGACTCTCAAAACAATTAGTAATAAAATAAATGAACAATTATGTTTTCTTAAGTTTGCATTTAATTTATATCATAATTAGTTAGCTTTAAAAAATAAGAGGTTTGTTTCTTTGAAATTAGTTTTTTCTATAAGTGTTTTTTTTTTTGTTTTTTTTAAATTTAACTTTAATCTCTAAAAATAAATCATTGATAGCATCGTCTTTAGTGCACGATGACTGCAGCGGTTGTAGGTCTCTTTTAGAGAGAACATCTCTTCAAATAAAGCCTCACAAATATATATATATAGTATAGATATATATCGTTAATTTCTTTCGTTTTGAGGCATTTCCTTATTTGATCTCTTCCGCTTTATGTGCGTTTAGAGGTTTCTCCTAAACGCTTTCTTTAACGCTAAAGGTTTTCTTATTTGGCCCCATTCATATTTCCACTCTATATATCACCTGTGGATAATACTTTCATTGGATAACATTTAAAGATGATGAATTTCTTCTCAAGTCCTCAGTTCTTTTGAACTTAAAAAGGTTATAAACTCCAACAGATACATCTGCAGTCGAACATCTTCAGGTTTATTACTCAGAAAAAAACCAGGTACCCCAACTTTTTGCAGAGTAATTTGCTGATCACTCACCTAAAAGAATCAATTCAATAAATTTAAAGAAATATAAAAAACAAATATAATTTAAATCAGGGGTAGCAGTAAGGTTTTTTAAAATTTTAGGGTAATTGTAGGAACTTTTTTCAAAAAATTTTAGGTAAATTTTAGGGGTAATATATGATTTTGCTAGGATAAAAACAGATCNAATTTGCTGATCACTCACCTAAAAGAATCAATTCAATAAATTTAAAGAAATATAAAAAACAAATATAATTTAAATGTCAAGACTAAACATCTTTTAAATCACTTTGTTTAATGTGCTTTAATAACAATGCCTGGGGATGATTTAAATACCCCTTAGTTTAACATAAAAATTCTGCTATTATTAAGTTAAGTTATTAGATTAAATAAATATATAGTTAATTAGATTAAAATCATTTTAAATAAATAGTATGAAGATATTAAATTCACAACTTTGAAACAACGAAACTCAAACACAAGATTTCATAAATAACTATTTCTTCTTAAAATAAAGAAATTCAATAAATTAGTTTAATTTTACTTATTCATAATCTAGTGCAAGAGTCAATATTAAAAAATTTAACAACCCCAAATTGCAATAGGGATCCAACGACTGTTCGGCAAAGTAATATTTAGAAAATTATTGAAATTTTTATAGATTTAATAAAATGAAATTTTAATAGATTTAATAAAGAATAATCAAAAATTGCACTTTTTTACTATACATTATTCGAATTAGTTTTCACACATATTTAAGTTCTAAAACTTGTTCATTTTTGTTAAGACACATGGAAAAACAAAATTAGAACTAGATTACTTTAGAACCATGAGGTTTTATAATTATATAAATATACTATTCATATTCTAATTATATATTTTTTCTTTTATTTTAATCATATATTTTATTTTAATTATATATTTATTCAGGCATGTCAATTTTGTTTTTTCAGCACTTTATGCATTAAAAATTAAGAACTTTTTTTTTCATCTTCAAATTCTAATAGAATTTATTCGTTTATTGTCACTTTTTTTCTTTTGGTACAGTAAGAGAGATAACTAGTAGTATAGAAAACTGTGATTTTTCAAAGTGAAAGTTATATTTCAGTACTAAGAGCAATTTTTTTTCCTTTTTCTCTTTTGATTTTTTATACCAACTTTTCTTTTTATCAGCATTTTTATCATGACAGCATTTTCTGCAGAACGTTTTTAATGAACGTTATTCTTTTGATGTCACTTTTTCTAAAAATAAATCATGTGAAAGTTAAAACAGATCTTTCTATGAAAAATTAAGAATGATTTTTGTGTCATTTTTCTAAAAAGCTTTCTTTTTCTAAAAACTTAAAATCTTACAGATGTTTTTATTATGACACGGAAATTAAAGAGAGTTTCTATTGAACTTTAATTTCCACTTGTTCTTAAAAATAAAGTGATTTTTTTTTCAAGTTAATTTCATTTTTTTTTAAAATAGCTGTTAGTCAGTTTCTTTTTTTTTTATCTTAACTATTTCTAATGAACTTTGGAGTGCAGTCTAAAGTTGACACCCCTTAATCTTAGTTTTACCTTTCTCATATTCAAACATATCTAAAGAACTTTTTAAGCAAAAAAAAAAAAAAACTTACCACACAATTATAAAATGACAGTTCTAGACAAAAAATTGCTTTTGGTAAATTCTTAATATTTATTATTTAACAGTCGAAAAATCTTTAGATGTAAGGTATACAGTTTTAACAAGGTTTTAAAATATATAATTTTACATTTTAAATTATATAATTTTACATATATTTCAAACAATTTAGTTCAGATTTTGAATTTTGTCTCAGAAAACTAAATTCTTCAAAATTAAGTAAAAAATTTTATACTTCGAAAATTCTAAATTTTTCCAAACTATTATTAAATAAAATTATAACTATTAAAAACTATTTCTTGCATGGAATTATCTTTGGATAAAGAAATGTTATTGTGTGCAAAAATTATTTGATTCATTTAAAAAAATTTTGAGTATTTTAAAAAAATTGCATTAAGACACCCAAACTTTGGACTGCTCTTCTGAACAAATTTGGATGTTTTTTTTTTTTTCAGATTGCAACTGACTACCTACTAAATTTTGGAAATCAAAAGTTAAAATCTCTCTAGAAAAAAGAAATGTATGTTTATAAAGAGAAAGTATGTCTTTTTGTGCCTGGTTTCATAAATTAAAATATTGCAACTATTCAAAGTCATCACTTCAAACCATTAAGAGTGAGCCTAGTATATAAAGATTTATTTGATTATTAGATCAAAAATTATTTAAGGTGATGTTTACTTTTTTTTTTTTTTTTTTACACACTGCGCACATTTGTTAGTTTTAGTAATTTCAGACATTTGAAACTATTAAATACTATCTTAAAAATAACTATTTTCCAACATTTTATATATAAGCGTTATAACAAATGATAAAATTTTAACGCTATGGAATTCCAAACACACTGAATTGGAATATTTTAAAATAACCCACTAGAGTCCTAAAGATTCTAAAACAAACCAGGGAGAAATCAAATGATAACACACCACTATTCTTTTCCTAAAATTATGTAATGTTATACTACATAAAATCCTAATTCAACACACAAAATGTGTACGGTTAAAAAATATTTTTTAGTCACATTGAAATCAAATGGGAAAATATCTAATGGTCATGTACAATATAATGCACAGAATAAAAATTAGCATTACGATTCTGACATTGCATTACAACTGAGAAAAGGGCAAATTTGAACCCTCTTTACAAAACATGTAAATGCAGAAAGCTTCTGCCAAATACAGAAGAGCTACAGCTATGCATTCAAGACTCGATATATACATTAAAAAGGTAAGGATGAGAAATTGTCGTTATTATAAATACTGCATACTCCAAGCAAATATTAAGAAATCGTTAATCCTTCTAACACACAAAATGCAAATTTATAAAAAAATTTTAAAACCTGAAATTCCTTTTGCTTAAGAAAATGATCAAATATAAATTAGCATTTAAAAAGGATATAAAAAAATACAAAGACTTTTTTTTAATACTATCTGTCCACCGTAAAATGATATTTCATGATACAAGATTAATTAGTTAAAATAGTGCTTACATTTATGTAAAATACTGATTAACTTATAATGACCATAAAATATTTCTTTACAGATATTTAAAATCCTCATTGCTTTAGTGTTTCATTTTTTAAATCATCGAAAATGGTTTTTATTGCTTTATCTGGCAATACATATTTCAGTTAGCAAGAAAAGATTTTTGATACCCTTTGAATTAATTTTACTTTTTAAAGAAGTTCAGCTGTATTTAAAAGAACTAATCGAGATTTAAAATTCCTAACAAATAGTAGAAATACTTCTTAGCTGGTTTTAGTACTATCTAAATGGCAGATTTGAGACTAAGCCTTTTTCTTTCTCCACATCACATAAATCCCTTAATTAAATTCAAAAAGCTATAAATATTTTTAACAAGAACTTAAACACTACAATCACCACTATAAATGACCCTATATATATATATATATATATATATAAAAAAAAGATTGTGTTGCAGAGATTTTACTTTTTCATATATCATCAATCAAGGAAAAAGATTTAGAGTTTAAGGAGCAAAAAATACATAACATAATAGGTTGTCTTCGGGTCCGAGACTTGAAAAAAACTATTGTTACAAAGAAATATTTTATGATCACAGATGTCAAAAGATATTTTATCCGATAACTATCTTCTAGGACAAAACAAGCTTTTACAAAAGGATTCGCATATGAAGTAAACAATAAAAAGCCATTTATATGTTCATAGGAATACCTACCTCTATATTTTCATATAAGATTTAATCAAAAAAAATTTTTTTTACATTAATTGAGCAATTAAAACACTTTAAGTAGAATAAAACTTATATTAACACGTAAATTTTATTTTGTAAAGTATGAAATTCAACTAATACAATTCCAGAAACATTTACAACAAAATAGGAGAACATACAACACTAACATAAATTGAAGAACTTACTGACTGATCAAGCTCCATTATCACTTTCATGTCTAAATGTGTAAGCTCCTCTTCATGATGTTGATCCAACTCCTAGAAATGTTATAAAAATAAAATTCAAAAAAAATCAATGCATGCATGAAATATCTTACCAAATAAACTGTAAGAGAATGCTAATATCAAAAAAGGAATATAAAGAATTGAAGAACAAAATATTCCTAGCTTGTTAATACAAAACATTTGCACAACAAGAATTTAAAATGTAAGTTTTAGCTACCAAAAATTGCAACTGTCGAAAAACTAATGATGGTACAAAGCTCAGGTAAAGTCAAAGCTTTGTACTGGCCGAATTATGTGTTGTGTTTAAGCCATTTAGGCCTATAACAATTAATGTTATTCTCTTCTCAATTATTATTATACATAATATTGTCCAAAGTTACACACAATTGTACCTTCTAATAGAACATAGTAGAAATATACATTTCATTTAAAAGTTTGATTGTATTAATTTTGAACTCTTAGAAACCAAAACCTTTCAATAATAAATACTTAAATATAGTATTCAATTTAAAAGTTGCTAATAAATAAGTTACATTAAATAATATTTAGTTCATAATTAGATGATTAATTGATCAGTGCTTTTCAAACTGGAGGTAATAAAATATTGAATACAACAATCTTTAAAAATTTCTGGCTATAAAACTTATAAAAATGAACTGTGTTATTTTTATTATCTACTAGGTCAGATGTGGCAGTAATGAGCACCCTAAAGGAATTTCGTTAAAATTTATATTTTACTTTTTCTTACCCAATACAATTACTTGAAACGAATATTCAGCGATATTTTTTGTAGTCAACCATTTTTGGCATCACACGCAAAAAAAAAATTAAATACAGTGAACTTATTAAATTAGCAGTTGTCATGTATTAAGCATTTTTTAACAACACAAAACAAGCACTTCATTTTTCACATACAACAAATTTGCTTATTACTGAATAAAACAGCGAATTCAACATTCCAGGAATCTATTCCAAAGAAAATATACCTCTAACTAAAAGTGAGTCTTGCACTCGCACCCAAAGCAAAATGATAGCCTGGCACCTACATCACCATATTAAGATTCTGCGCATCACATCAAAATTTATTTGAACATTCTTAATTTATCTCAGCAGTGCATAGACATTTAAAAAAAAAATCATAAGCAAAGTGGATTTCGGCAAATTTAAACTGGGAAATTGGACTTAAACTCATTGGGTAATAAATAATGTGAAATGCACGAACGCAAAATTTTGAATACAAAAAATAATTAGGAGATAAAATAAATGGTAATTTCATTGATCTACTTTGAAAATGATAATATTTTTAATACACCAATTAAAATTTTCAGATAGTTAATTATTATATTATAAACAATAAAAATTACATTTAACAACTAGACACAAAATGCCAGGTTAATGCTAAAACTAGACACAAAATGCCAGGTCATTAAAAATAATAGTAAAAATTTAATAAGCAGTGGATACGGCACAAATTCTAAGCATTTAAAATAAGGTTAGTCAATTCTATTACTAAATAATTGCAACACAAAAATTGATATATAAAAAATGAAGAAAGAAAATATGATTAATTTTAGAATGAAAGCTAAAATATTAATAAAAAATAAATAAATAAATAAAAAAGCTTAATTTCTTTTTTTTTTAAATATCTAGAGTTCAAATATCATATGCTAAAAATTTAGAAATTAAATGAACTTCAATAACTAAAAATAAAAAAATTTGAATATCAAGTTTTACAATTAAAGTAAAAACATTATACCAATAGAACAAAACAAAACAAAAGAGGGATAGCTAAATCTAAAGAAAATTCGTCTCCTACTGAAAGTTTGTCTGAGTCCAATGTTTCACTCGAATAGAATTTATATTTATGTGTCACATGTCTCTTATAATCAACTTTCAGTAAAAACCAACCGCAAATATTTATGTCTCCCAAATAATTAAATTTAACTCCCTTTAGAAAAATTCATCACCTAAGTGAAGTGAAGAAGAAAGCAAATTGCAAATTTATGTAAATAATATTGAATATAAAATTTCATACTCAAGTCTTTGTTAAATAAATTAAGTTCAAAATGTCTTTAATACAGCTATGTATATCTCGTTTAATTACATATAAATGGTATGATAATCATTATATAAAATTTTTAAATGGTGCCAAAATTACAAAAGATTTTGTCTGCAACTCTCAATAATACCACTAAAAAAGTAATCCATGAAAAGCACTAAAGTTGACAACTATGTTATAATAAAATACAAAAATTTTACATTTAAAAACAAATCATTCTTAAAAGAAGACCAAGACTGAATTTTGGCAGAGAAACACGTGAAATTATTAAGAATTTAATTGTATTAATATATCAATTTCATCAATATACATGCAAATTAAAAATAAATAAAAATAGTGACCATGGAATAGACTCATTAAAAAATGTAGCTTTCATGTAGTGTACAAATATATATCTCATTTCCTTGCATTAAACTTAAAAAGTTTAGTATCTTAAAAACATAAGTTTTTAAACTAATATTTAACAGCAGAAAATTATCCAGACATACATGAATAGCAGGAAGATTCCACAGCAGAAGGAAATTTGAAAATTGAGGTTTTATCCTTCATTATGATTGCAAATAAAATTAATTTATGTAATCAATATTAAATACTAATATAATTCAGACCGATACATATTTAAAAAATATTTTCTTAATAAATATATGAAATACAAGTCATGAGTAGGGAAAAACTGTATAAGTCCCTTTTCCTTTCAAAAGAATATAAATATGAATCCAGTAGCAGAATTGGCAATCTATTTGCAGCTCTATCCTCAAAATTCATATTTGTCTGCACTATCAACAAAGTCAGGCAGAGATTTATTAATGTAAAAATTAAACTTGATGTAACACAATTTTCAAAGATTAAATACAATTAAGTTGCACAGAAAAATTTGATTATTTCAATTTAATTTGAATTTTACTCAATCATACATTAGCTTAGCCCAAAAGGAGAAAATACAAATGCTTGTATTGAACCTAATAAAGAAATCAGAAAGAAAAGGAAAAATAACTTGCAATTAATAATATCAAAATAAAATCTTTTTATTTTAAAGAAGGAAATTAACAAAAATGTAATTAATGGTAATCTGACTTGTTCTTATTTAAATTTTCTTTAAATGAAGCTCGACCACACCAATACAAGTACATTGTAGACAAATGTAACAATAACCAGAAAAATAAAAATCTTTACCAAATTTTAAATTTATCCTTATCAAATTTTAAAAGGAGAGCTATTCTTTATTTTTATTAAATGACAATAAAAAAAAATCTTTCCTCTTTTGCTTTATTTTGAAAATTTTTCATATTTCTACTTTTTTCTTATTTTTATTCTTTAAATTTGAGGTGGAGATGCTGCTATAATCTAAGTGCCCACTGCCATGCTGGAAAGTTTCTGTTATCAGGAGTATAGATAGCAGATAAAAAAATTTATAGAAATTAGTAGGCTTTAATCAAAGTACTCCAATTATCCGAATCAATTGGGACCGGACCCCGTTCGGATAATCAAAAATTCGGATAATTGGATTTTTTTTTAAAAAAATGCTTATTTTAAATAACTAATGTTTGTATAGTGGAAATGAGGGGGGAAAATGTTTTTAGGGATTTCTTCTAAGGATTTCAAGGATTCTTAAGGATTTCAACAATTCTTCTGTGGGATGAGTTGGTCCATTATCAACAATCAAAAGCACAGGACTTCCAACAGATTTTTGGCTTTTTTTCACTTCAGGAATGAAAATTTCATCATACCAGTCTGTAAACAGTGCTGCAGTCATCCAAGCTTTGTATTGGTTTTTATAAAATAGGGGAAGTTTTTTGACTTCCCTATTAACAGAAGGGGTATTTCATGGCTCCCAGTTGAGTTCGGGCAGTTAAGCACAGTAACGCGGTCTTTACTAGCTTTATGCCCTGGAGCACTAGGAGGCTTTGGCACTGCACTCTCTTTTAGAGACTAAAGTGGTTTCGGGTAAAGCTTTCTATATTAGACCAGTCTCATCGACGTTGTATAAGAAGTCGGAATCGTAAGAGGCTGCTATAACTTTAAATTTTTCAATAAACTCNATAACATCAGTTTCAGTTACTGACATTGGTGATGTATCACCACTATGCTAAAAGAATCGAGCATGAATGAAATAAAAGTATTCTTGAATAGTACTTATAGATAAATAAACCTGTTTATGAGTAACCAAGCACTTAGTCCCTAATAGCTTAACCTGCATGGCAAAGGTCAAACTTCAGTTATGTACTATTGAAGGAGCGGACCAATTGAACTTGATTACTGATTAATCTTCCTTTGTTTATTGTTTAAATTGAAGAGTCAAACAATATTAATAAAACATTATATTTTTAAAGACAAATATTCTCTAGTAGATTTATTATCAATATGTTATTAGTTCTATGTTTATTTTACCTTCTAAATATTGTACAGATAAAATTGTGACATAATTCGAGTAAAAGAGTTTTGGACAGTTTTGGACAAAGGGGTTTTGGACAGGACGGTTTAAACCAGGGTTTACACCGTGGATTAATCCATTCTGTCCTAAACCTTGCCAACCCTGCTTGCAATTAATAATATCAAAATAAAATCTTTTCATTTTAAAGAAGGAAATTAACAAAAATATAATTTATGTTGATCTGTCTTGTTCTTATAAAAATTTTCTTTAAATGAAGCTCTTTACAACAACAATACAAGTACTTTGCAGACAAATGTAACAATAACCAGAAAAATAAACATCGTTACCAAATTTTAATTTATGGATATCAAATTTTAAAAGGAGGGCTATTCATTATTTTTATTAAATGACAATAAAAAAAATCTTTCCTCTTTTGCTTTATTTTAAAATTTTTTTATATTTCAATTTTTTTTATTTTTTTTTTTATTCTTTAAATCTGAGGTGGAGACGCTGCTATAATGCAAGTGCCCACTGCCCAGAGTAGCACATAAAAAAATTTATACAAATTAGCAGGCTTTAATCAAAATACTCAAAATTCAAGAATTTGATTTTTTTAAAAAAGCACATCAAAATAAAATATGAACTCAGGAATTATAACAAAAAATTAACCTTTATTTCCATAGCTTGCTTCAATCTCAAACATTCTGCATTTTGTGGATTCAGCATATATTCATTATCCAGGGCTACTCGATGACGTTGAAGTACTTTGTCTTTGCTTGCTGAAATAAAAACACATACATATGAACAAGGCAATAAGGTTTGTATCTGAATTAAGGTAAAAATATTATTCAATTAAATATTATACATCTAAAAAAATTTAATATACCTACATTTACATGGCCATTATAAAATGTTTACAGAAATCAAGCACATTTAAGTTATACATAGCTAAAAGAATTTGTTTTTTAAAAAAAATAACTTCCATAAAACTTTCAAATTAATCACAAAAATATTGTTTAAGAGGATTTTGGGGACAAGGGGAAAAAATTCTAAATGTACTTTTATTCCTTTTTAATTTTTACAAGTAAGCTGATGTATAATGACTCTGCTCAGCAGTATCTTTCGAACCATGTAGGATACGGAACTCGGGAGATCTCCGTATCCTGATCTGGGGCAGAATAATCACCAATTTTTTTAAACTTCAGGGCAGTGGCCCACAAGAAACTTAAAAAAAAAAAGCATTACAGAAAGGGACTAACTCGAAAGGTATAACTTGTAGCCACCCCCGGGCAAACATACAAATATTTTTTTTAAAATTTTGCAAGTTGAAAATCTATTTGGCGATTGTAGTTGGTGCGACAGATCATGATATGGAAATATCCCCGAAGGAGCTACAGGTTATATCTCTTAGAGTTGTTTTCATTCTGTGATGCTTTTTTTTTTTTTTTAAATTTCTATTAAGTGGCTGCCCAGCAGTTTCAAAAACTTGGCGGTTAATTTGCAGCCGATTACGATAGGAAAATCTTTTCAAATTCCATTAAGTTAATTTAAAATTAACAAATCTTTATTTATTAATAGAAATATAATATAAAATAAAAATGTACCTCTATGAGAATTTACGAGGTTCATTCGCCTTTCAAATAAACTTTTTTCAGTCATTTGTTGAATGTCAGTCAGATTTTTAACTATATCAAAAACAGTTTCATCCAATAAAGAACTAGCCAGTTCCACCAAAAACTTTCGAGGCAGTTTTATTTGATACTCTCTGAAATATAAGTGAAAATTTACTGAAGCAAATTAGAAAACGACACAGGGGGATACTTCAGTATCGTGGTCTGTTTACTCAATTATAAATATCAAAGCTCCAAAAGGATATTAAACTTGTAAGCTTTATTTTTTTAAAAATATATATATATATGTTTAAGATTACCGGTAAGGAGAGTGCGAGTAGGTATCATTCTGGGTTTTTTTTTTTTTTTTTCCAGTTTCGTGGGACACTGTTAGAAAATTGCCAAGATTTGTCAATTACTCGTTGCTGATCACGATAAGGAAATATTCCCTAACAGAGATAGGAAAAAAGCACTAAACAACTAATAAATAAAACAATAGAACTTACACAGGGAGTTTTTGAACTAATTTCTGCAGCTCGCGTATCATTTTTCCCTGTTTGCTAAGAGGAACCGACATAATGAACTTTAATTTTAAAGTAACATTAAATTAAACAAAATAAAAGAAAATCAGTAAAATACTTTGAACGCCGTTGTGTCCGTAAGATTTTTGTTCCAAGCCAAACTATTTCTACCCATCTACCTTCATCATTAATAAAATTTGAGTTAGACCATCGCTGGCCGAGCGGTCTTGAAGCGTCACTCATCATATTCTGCATAAATTGTTTTTATAATTACAGTCACTCGACATGCCATCGCAATTTTGATACTCTGCTGAGGTTATGGCTCAACTACTTTGGTAGCCCGACGACTTGCGAGCGAAGTCGAGCACTTTNGTCTCAGTGAACGGCAAGTTTGGGCTACAGTCACGTGACTTTATCTTGTCCACGGGTCGGGGGTTATTCTACTCTCTCTACCCAGTATTTCAACTCTATGACTCAGACTGATCCAAGTGGTCAACCACCCGCACACTGACCGCAGCCAGTGATGCTTGACTTCGGTGATCTGCTGGGAACCGTGTCTTAACGATTAGTCCACTGCGGGACTAATTATTTATGAACTTAAAGTTTGTTTTTACTACAACTTTGATCCTTACATTTTTGAATTGCTTTTTAATGTTGTTCTGTTATTTGATCTTTGCTTTTTTTGCATCCTAAATATTTGATGCCGCATTTAAACTAAACGAATTATGTATAAATTGTAAATAAATGTAAATAGTAATTATTTAATATGTTTATTCTTCAAACCATTCATTAAACTTCAGTCTTACCAATTCGGTCTAGGAAACATTACCGAACTAGGATGCCATCAATTGTGATGGCATCCTAGAGGGGATGGCATTCCCGCTTCGATCGCCCAACTACCTGCATGCGAAGTCGAGCACTTTGCGTTAGTTGTTATTGTTCATTTACGTCGCCCTAGAGCTGCACAATAGGCTATTGGCGACGGTCTGGGAAACATCCCTGAGGATGATCCGAAGACATGCCTTCGCAATTTTGATCCTCTGCAGAGGGGATTGCACCCTCGCTTCGGTGGCTCGACGACCTGCACGCGAAGTCGAGCACTTTACGGTAGAACAGTTTAACTAGGACCCATACCACACATCCTCGGTCCCTACGCAGGCTGATCCAAGTGGTCACCCACCCGCACATTGATCTGCAGCCAGTGATGCTTGACTTCGGTGATTTGCTGGAAACCGTGTCTTAACGATCAGTCCACTGCGGGACCATCGATTCTTTCTTTTACGTCGTACTATGATGCACTGCAAGCTCTTTACTTCATATATTTCCAGTTCACTGTTTCCAGTATTTTTTTAAGCAGTATATTTGGCTCAAAACGTACTCATTTTGAGTCTCTCTTAAGTAGCATTTCTTGTCTCGTATACTTGTATTTCTTGCCTATTTTTTTTTTTTGTGTGTTTAAAAAAACAATCGATAGAAGTATCGATTGAAGACCTGTCATTTCAAGACGTAAGAATCGTCATTTGAAAAATAGAATCGCTTTAAGACACTTCTTACCTTGTCAACGATATACCAACTTCGAAATTTAAACCTAAATGATAATTTGTAAAATGAACGCTGCTCAACAATTGTTAACACTTACATGTGATGGTGCACGGCTTGCAACAAGAACAAACAGTAATAGACTAATAAAACAAAAGCAACTCAAGAAAGACAACTATAAAGAAGTAACTATAAAAAAAGAACTATAACTTTCAATAAAACAACTATAAAGAAGTAAAACAAATTTTCACTTCAAACTCACCATCTTACGAAATAGAACAGATTTATGCTCAGAAATTACATAATTTATTTCCTTCATTAAAAGCAAAATTATCTGTGTGAAAATATCCCCAAGCAAAATGAGTTGTAGTAATCAGCTGTATACTTTCTAGCCGGAACTAGAACAGGATTGTTGTTTACGTTTATATTGAAAACGCCATTCATGGGCTATTGGCGACTGTGTGGGAAACATTCCTGAAAATGATCCGGGGATAACATACATGCGTTTCATTCTGTTCTACTGGGATGATACATTCACACACCATCCATCAATCCGGAGATCGTAATTTTAATCTTAGCCATCAGTCAATGAACGATCAATCTCCAATTCAGTATCTCTAAAGGGGAGAAATTTCCGTATTGCGATCTGTTGCACCAACTACAATCGCCCAAGGTGCCAAATAGATTTTAAACTTGCAAATTTTTTGAGAAAAAAAATAAGTATATGCTTGCCCTTGAGTGGCTACGAGTTATACCTTTCGAGTTAGTCTCTTTCTGTGATGTTTTTGTATTTTAGTTTCTCGCGGGCCACAGTCCGGAAGTTTCCAAGACTTGGCGATAATTCCGCCGCAGATCACGATACGGAAATCTCCCCTCTAAAGATATGATGTGTTATGGGAACATGACGGACTTCTTCACCCGATCGAATTAATGTGCACCAGTTGCTCTTTTCTAGACTGGGAGTCCTTATTCGGCCGACATCTGCTCGTAAGATTACTTTTAGATTCGGCATCTCATAGATACATTTTGAAAAATGTTGCTCGAGAAATGGGCTATCCTTCTCTTCGCCAAGAAAGATTAGTGCATCCCAGTTTTTGGCTGTGCTTCGAGCAAACAGATTACACATGACTGTTACAAAATATGGTTAAGGGATTTGAATGAAAAATTCGTTTGTAATTTTGATGCCTTGAACCAAGACAATATTTGTGAAGTTGTTCGACCCGTTTTGTAACAAATCTTGGATAAAAGAACTGGAAGAGGATAATATTTTTCCATCTGACGTAAGTGATAGAAGCGGATCAATTGACATATTTGTCGGTGCCGACAACATGGATAAAATGCTAACTACAAAACCAATGCTGACGTCTAGTCTTGTAGCTGTTGAAACACACTTAGGGTGGAAATTATTGGGAAAAGTACCCGAAGAAGAGACACCGAAGGAAAATTCAAGTTTGGCGATGAATGTAACATCAATGTTTGTAAATGAACTTGACATATCCCATTTATGGCGGCTAGATTTGATTGAAATCACTGATCCCATTGAAAAGTCCAAGCAAGATATTGATCTTCAAACTAAAGGACATTTTTAGAAAACTGTGCAAGTTGATGGTGAAGGGCGGTACGAAGTTTGTTTGCCTTGGACTGATGACAGATCGCCGTTACCCGATAATTTACAATTAGCTCAAAGACGGCTGGAACACACAACTTTGAAACTCATATTTGTATATAATATGAATTTGTATCTAGAATACGAAGATGTTTTTACAAGTTGGATAAAAGAAGGCATCATAGACAGAGTGCCACTTGATGAAATACATAATTACGAGAATTATCTACCTCATCGACCTGTGCTGAAACCGAGCAGTGCTACTACTCCAATTCGGCCAGTTTTTGATGCGTCGGCACGATAGCCAAATCATCCGCCCCTGAACCAATGCTTGGAATGTGAACCGAATTTGATTGAATAGCTACCTGACCTTCTGTTGCGATTCAGAGATGGAAAATTCGGAGTGATTGGTGACATTTGAAGAGCTTTCTGTCAAATAAGCATTCGTAAAGAAGACAGGAATTTTATTCGTTTCTTATGGTGGGAAAATGAGAAACAATATAGTATGAAGTATTTTCGACATACCAGAGTAGTTTTTGGTGTAACGCGCAGCCCTTTCTTGTTAACCTCAGTAATTGGCTATCACATCAAAAGAAATGACGAATATGATATTAAATTTAGGGAAAAATTAGCTCGAAATGTTTATGTTGACAATGTTGTCACTAATATTGATAATGAAGAAGAACTAGAAAAATTTATGCAGGAATCAACAACTCTTATGTCCAATTGAAAATTTGGTCTTAGAGAATATGAATATGCGAAAATAATGAGAAAGGAGAAACCAACGCTTTAGGTCTGATGTTGTTGTTGTTGCTTATCCTCTTCCAGCCTGACGAAGTCAGACCTGATCCATAAAATCGTTGACTAGAATGAAATCGAAGACCAAAAGAGGAGAAGAGTAGATGTCTTCCCAGAGAAGACCAAAACAGCTCAGGATAAGATCGGCGGAAGCCCGGTGTCGATGACATTTAGGACAAAGTAGGTAGATTATAGTTCCTTCGGAATATAGTAAACCTCTTAGATGGCTGGAAACTAGGCGGGAGAGGGTGGTGTCGACTCTCCTTTCAAAGGGAAGAGTCAAAGGTCTGATGTGGAACAAAGAATCGGACAAGTTAAAAATTGACATAAGCAGGGTGAATAAGGTTGATACTGGAAAAGTAACTAAACGTAGCATGTTATCTACGTTTCACAGAGTCTTTGATCCTTTTGGTTTCTTCTCTCCAGCTTTCTCCAAAAATAATGTTACAGAAAGCATGGAAAAAAGGAATAATCTGGGACGAAAACATCAAACGCAAATTAAGAAAAGAGTTTTTACTATGGTTTCAGGACCTAACATATTTCAAAGACTCTGAAGTCCCAAGATATATTCAACTAACTAAAGAAAATCTCAGCAAATGTACCATTCATACTTTTTTTGATAGTAGTCAAGACGCAAATGCAGCTGTGACATTTCTGAGAATCGAACAAGACGATCGAATAGAAGTGTTTCTTCTGGCTTCCAAATTTCGAGTTTATTTGTTAAGAGGAGAAACGATTCCCAGAATGGAACTTCTAGCAGCTGTCATTGGAACTCGCTTGACAAATTCCATCATTGAAGCTCTACAATGAAAGAATATCGAGACATATTATTAGAGTGATTCGACTGCTGTGCTGGCATGGATTCAGAGAGACGAAAACTGGTCAGTGATTGTTTGAAATCGAGTAAACGAGATCAGAAAACTAAGTGATCCCATGTCCTGGAAGTACGTTCTTGGTGAGAAAATCCGGCAGATTTGCCATTGCAAGACTGTGAAGCAAATAAACTAATATCGTCGAGATGGTGGGAAAGTCCTCAATGTATAAAAGATCCACCTGAGTTTAAACGCCTTATGGAAGCAGATAAGAATCCATGCGATGAAGATGAGATCGAAAAAGAGAAGTAAAAAACTTCATGCACATTAATTGTGAAATCTCCAAAGACAATTGGTACTACAGGAAATTTCCAAGGTAGGAAAACATTGTTAGACTTGCAGCATTTATTCTCCGCTTTTAATGCAATCGCCAGAGACCAACAGAAAGAAAAAAGGGAGAATTAGTTGTTGCAGATTTTCAAGAATCAGAAGAGAAATTAATGCACACTATTCAGAACAAATGCTTTTCATCTGAAAATGATGATCGATTTAAAACTCTCCAAATATTTAAAGATGAGAAAGGCATTATCCGATTAAAGACCAAAATTACCAAACGAAAAGATGATGAATTTTTTTTAAAACCTGCTATTCTTCCATTAAACCATGAAGTAACTAAAATATTGATAACCTGCACACACGAGAAAAGCTATCACGAAGGGGTGCAGATGCTGTTGAACATTTTAGGAGAAAAGTATTGGATTTTACACGGTAGAAAAACCGTGAAGCAAGTCTTGATCAATTGCATTACCCGTAAAAGGTTTAGTTCTATAAGTCTTGATGCGATTCCACTCCACTTCCAGAAGTCTCCACTTCCTGAAAATTGAGTAAAAGATGCAGTGGTTTTTCAGATCACAGGGATTGATGTGGCTGGCCCACTATTTCTCAAAGAAAATAAGAAGAGCTGGATGTTAATATTCACCTGCTCCGTTTATCAAGCGGTGAATTTTGAGCTTGTCCACTTCAACAGAAGCATTTCTAATGACGTTTCGAATATTCGTATCACGTAGAGGAGGATGCTCAACTATCTATTGTGATAACGGCTCAAATTTCGAAGGAGCAGTGGCTGCACTGAAGCTACTGGATTGGAATCAGATTCAAAAACAAGGAGCTGTAAACGCTATTGAATCGAAGTTCTACCCACCAACAGCTACATGGTGGGAGTGCCTCATAAGAATTTTGAAAGATCTCCTAAAAAAGTGCTAGGAAGAGCGAGCTTGAATTATGAAGAGATGTTAATTGTACTGGCTAATTGCGAAAGTGTCAGTAATGCGAGACCGCTTACTTACATTACTGAAAGCGAAGCTATAAAACCAATATCACCCTCGATGTTTTTGCAAGACATTCAAGAACACAAATTGTCAGATATTGATGCTGTAGATCGCAATTCCTTTACTAACAGAATAAAATATCGACAAACGTTGATTAAAGATCTAAGACAACGACGAACGTTGATTAAAGGTCTAAGACAACTGTTCAGATTAGAGTATCTAGGCCATGGGTCGCTAAACTTTTTTGATCATCGACCCCTATATAATTTTTTGAAATCTCCATCAACCCCCATGAAAGTAATTTTTTGTTAATTAAAATAAAACTCTATTAGATACTGTGTTTGTACCATGGCAAACAAGGATAGGATTCATTTTATGATTTTAAATATTTATTAAAGTAATAGTACATTGTGTAACAATAGTTTTATGAAAAATATATTAATGTTGAAATTCAAATACATTAATATTTATTAAATAATAAGTAATTATAAATAAGTAGAAATAATAAGTAAAGTAACTGCAGATTTATTGCTTTTTAATCAATGAGATGGGTGTGCCTGGTGTTTTCTTGCAAGGTTCGCTATGTTGGGTTCAAAATTGGTCAATTTTAATCTTAAATCCTCTCGAAACTTTAATTTATTTCTGTACTTAGTTAAGATTGAATTTACGTGACTGAAACCGGCTTCAACTATATAGGAACTTGGATATGCTAGCATAAATGGCTGAGCTATTTCGTAAAGTTTTACATATTTTTGCATTATATTTATATTTGTCCAAAATTTGCATATTGTTAAATTTTTAAAAAGCGTCTTTGCTTCAAGATCCGACAATAATTCATAAAGCTCATCTTGCAGATTGATGTCCACATTTTCAATTTGAGCAGAAAATGCCACAATAATCAATCAGGGATGTCAATATTTTTCAAGTATGTATTTGCATGTATTTTCAAGTCTTCTTCTTTTATTTCTAATTGTCGCAAATTTTAAAAATACTAATAATCCTTACGTAGCAATGAGTTCATGCCACTGCCCGCTGGTGCGTAAATACTTGTTTCATCCGAATAAATATACGTTTATTAATTTATGTTCTATAAAGAAACTAATATTAAGTCAATTATAAAAAAATTCACAAATTTTACATACTCAATTAGGTATGTGTAATTTGCGTATGAAGAACTGTTTTTTTTTCGACCCCCAATCGACCCTTCTGTTTCGGATCGACCCCCTGACTCAGATCGACCCCCCGCTTCTGTTAAATTGACACCTGGGGGGAGCACTCTCATACAACGAGTGCANCGAAGAAGAAAGTGTCACATGTCGCGGGGAATGATCGAAGTATGGTGACGTCACGAGGGGTTGATGACGCAGTTGGAAGGCCTTCTCATCTCGTAGGTCACGCATTGTCTTAGTAGGAGCTAATAACAAAAACCGCATTGACTGGCCATTGGGACGCATTTCTCAACTTATTCTCGGAAGAGACGGAGAAGTTCGTCTTGTCAAAGTACAGACGTCGACTAATGACTTAATGCTTCGTCCTATACAACATTTCCAATGGGTATACCCATTGGAAATCGTAAGCTCAGATGGTCCTTAATATTTGAAGAACAGCATAGAGTCAATGGACCATTCCGAGCAGTCGGACTAGTTGAATGACTCCACCAACATCAAACATGCACCGAAACTTCGTAAGTCTGGAGGAAGACTGAAGATTCCAGAGAAACTGAACCTGTAAATTATTTTTTAATATCAAATCATTTTAGTTTTGATTATGCCTCATAATCAAACGGTGGGAGAATGTTAAAAAGCGATGGGTGTACGCCACTGGTGTTTTTCAGTTTTTTGATTTGTTCATTGGTATGATGTTCTTTTTTTGTTAGAACTGTTTATGTTTAAAATAAATAAAAAGTTGTTAAGTTTTTTAACGTTGGTATTGGCAGTTTTTTCAAAAAGAGTTGTGTTTTAATCAGTTCTAGTTCATGTTTTAACACAAATATCAAGTAAACTATTGCCATCAACAAATACATACATTTAATAGTTTATTGTATGAGATCAGTTTCTCCTTTTGGTATTTATTCTGAACGACTTCCTAGAGGAAGGCTGAGCAGTAGCTTACTAGCCACTTCTTCCTCGTTGCTGCACATATCTTGTATACAGCCTTGGTCATCTCAGCAAGATCAGGGTACTACTTGTGGTGGGAATGAGCTCTGTAAATATATTATTGTTGTTATGATTGCAAGAGAAATCGCATGTTAATCAAATGAGAAGTTAAAAATTAAAATTAGCAACATATAATTTCCTTACTTAATAATCAGTCATAAATTTCATAAAATTCCTATCAAATTTAGAACAATCACATGTGGGTCTAATACTTACCTAACTAAATCTGGCACCATTTTCTTTAACTACTTAAATAAAATTATTAACAATATTATTAAAGAAGGTTTTTCTTGAATTATCACTAATAATCAATCGATTTTAGAATTCATTAAACATAATAAAATTAATTCTATTGCAACTTTTGATTTCCAGGATGTTTTCAATAGTATTCCCCTTTCTAAACTAAAAGATGTCCTTTTGAATTATTACTATGATTTTAAAAATACTCTTAGTTGCGATTTTGATTATTGGAAAATTCTAATCAATTTTTGTCTTTTTAATAATTATCTTTACAAAGGAAAAATATTTTTCTTCAAATTGTTGGAATACCACAAGGATCTAATTTTTCATCTCTTTTAACTAACCTATTTTTGCATTATTAGGAAAAAAATTATAATCTTAATGTTAAATTTGCTTTTAGATTTATTGATGATTTAATTATCCTTAATTTTCAAGATTATACTATTTTATTAAACAATATTTACCCCGAGGAATTAATCTTGCTTCGCAATCATGATGATAGTATAAATTTCAATTTTTTGGATTCTAATTACTTGGAATTCTAATGTTTCTAAGAGCATCTATTTGAATACCATTTTTAATCAAATGATAAGAATTAAAAGTAGTAATGTTTATTTATCCAAAAAACAAATAGAAAAACTCTTTCAAAATTTGATAAAAAAAGAAAAAAAACAATGGATGTAGGATAAAGGGGGTGAAGCGAGGGTTTCTCAAAAATAAAGAAGCTGTGCTAAACTTAATAAAAATATATTATCACAAAATAAGCTACAATTTCCACTGGCATGCTCCTCGAGCCAGTCATTCCAACTACAAATGGTGTAACTGTAAAGGAAGAGTAAATGTAGAGGTAAGTGTCCTTAATATCATCACGTGATAGGGTGAATGCTTCGTAGATCGGATCTGTATTCCACATGGATACCCAACTTAAGTAATGAAATTCGATATAAAATTTTTGAGTTAATTGTAAATAAATTTACAAAAAAATTCTTTGTAAATTTATGTAATATTTGCCATGTGCAAATCATTTTTGTCAAATTCGTGGCTAAAATTACGTGCAAAACAGACAATTCATGTTTCTTTCTCTTTTCTATTTAATTATTATTTTTTTCNATATAAAAAAAACTAATTACTTGGAATTCTAATGTTTCTAAGAGCATCTATTTGAATACCATTTTTAATCAAATGATAAGAATTAAAAGTAGTAATGTTTATTTACCCAAAAAACAAATAAAAAAACTCTTTCAAAATTTGATAAAAAAAGAAAAAAAACAATGGACGTAGGATAAAGGGGGTGAAGCGAGAGTTTCTCAAAAATAAAGAAGCTGTGCTAAACTTAATAAAAATATATTATCGCAAAATAAGCTACAATTTCCACTGGCATCCTCCTCGAGCCAGTCATTCCAACTACATGGTGTAACTGTAAAGGAAGAGTAAATGTAGAGGTAAGTGTCCTTGATATCATCACGTGATAGGGTGAATGCTTCGTAGATCGGATCTGTATTCCACATGGATACCCAACTTAAGTAATGAAATTCGATATAAAATTTTTGAGTTAATTGTAAATAAATTTACAAAAAAATTCTTTGTAAATTTATGTAATATTTGCCATGTGCAAATCATTTTTGTCAAATTCGTGGCTAAAATTACGTGCAAAACAGACAATTCATGTTTCTTTCTCTTTTCTATTTAATTATTATTTTTTTCTTAAATAAAAGATAATTTTCTAAAATTATAAATTTTCAACATCATTAAATTATCAGTATAATATTACCTTGCGCACATCATTTTAGGGCCCATCCTTGGTACAAAGTTTAGAGCAATCATATCTAAAAAAGATATTGGTTAAGAGGACGCCATATCTCGGAAGAAAATTTTCGTCGCATATTCTTTTTCTCCTACATTACTAATTTAAAAGAAAGAAAAAGTAAGTTCAGGCAAACCTAGAGTTTGTCATTAAGTTTCAATTGCTCAAAAAATATAAAAAAAAACTTTGAAATATTAAAATTCAAACAAATTATTAGAAGAAAACTTCATACCAGCCAACTTTTAATCCTTTCGAGGATGGTTTTCCCCACTGATAGTAAAATGGAATTTGAATTATAATTTTAGGCAGACACACACAGAGTTTTTAAATTACCACAATAGTTTTACATAATATTATATATTCTTAATTTTTTTTAAAAAATAGTGGTGGCCAAAAAGGTAATAAATTAAGGAATGCAAGGAATATACAGAAAACATATATTTTACTACCACTTTAAGTAAAGAAATAAAATCTTACGCCAAATGAGTTGTCAGGTATGGAATTTCTCTCTTCTTCCCATCTCCATTCCTCCTCACTACTCCTCATCATCGATTTATTAATACAGATGAATCGGTTAATGACGCTTCGCGGCAGCGCACCGAGATTTATGTGATTTCTACCATTCTACCGTATGGAATTTCTGCGTTGCGTAATCATAAATTATCATCTCATAATTTATTTTCATTTGTATATTTGAAAATTTTCTTTTCAGCAATTGAAACTTGGCTTACTTGTTTCAGCTTACTTGGCTTACTCTTTTCAGCTATTAAAACTTGACTTACTCTAGGTTTGTTGTTTGTTTGTTTGAGAGAGTATTTGCGACGAAAACTTTCTTCCGCGTTGTGGCATCCTCTTAAGTGTCTACTTCTGATTCACACTAGAGAAAACCTATTAATTGCAAAAATTTCCGTTGCGTAGCTTTTAAAAAACTTAAAATAAAAATAGTTGCTTAACTACAATTCTTTTTATTTTGCAATTAAATTTGTCATTTAAGTGGGCAAAGAGAATTGAATTTTATATTCACTTAAAGATTTTGCGTGAATGTAATTCGATAATTTTAAAAACCAATTAAGACTAATTTCTAGCTGTAACGATTATTAACTTGCATATTTCCTATAATAATTCATATTCTATATCGCAAATAATATTAAAATCTTATTCATGATAAGTTAAAAAGTTTAACAAAAATATTTTGTTTCATTTCAATGCATTTATAATGATTTACAGGGCTTGATTATCGCCTAGGCCCAATAGGCATGAGGGTAGAGCCCACAATTTCTGAGGGGCCTCAAAAAGTAGTAAAAAGTCTAATGAAAGGTAGGCTAGCTTTGTGTTGGTTTAAGTATTAAATAGAAAACTTTTACGACAAACAGTATTAAATAAAAATCAGTGACTTCTAGCAAAAATCACTGATTTCAATTGTTCGTGGCCACCAAACTATTTCTATTTTGATATAACATTGTTTTGTAGTTTTATATTTTGCTTTAATTTATAGATACGTAAACTTTATCTTAGAAAAATAATTTTCAATTGTCTGCTTTCAAAATTTCTTAGAATGTTTTTCTTGAATCATGCAGTTCAATAGATTTTTTTTTATTGTTAGGGACTACTTTTCAGTAATTCAATTTCAAAATATCTTGCTATGGGCCAGGAAAATTTAGTGGGCCTTGGGCCTGAATTTGTCTTGATCGGTCCCTGATCATTTATCATTTGGATATAAAATATACATTTGGTGCATTCATTAGATTCTAGAAATAACTCTAAGAGAATTAAAGTTTAACTTTGTCAGAAGCGAACTTTATAACTTAATGTAATTACTAAATCAATTCTAGTATATTATTAAATTTTTAAATAATTTTCTAGTTGCATCCTAATAAATATTTAAATGCCTTTTTAATTTGGGTTCACGTTTTCAAATCGAATCTTCAGTTTTGTTCATCAAAATTTTAAATTAAACATCACATAATTATTTCGTGTTTTATTTTTGTATTGCAGTATTAAAAGAAGTCCTTTATTCTTGTGCTTTCCTTGTTGTTTATGTTTCTTTATCCTTATCTTTTTTCAAAAAGAACTTGTTAGTAATTTTTTTCTCATTTTGACATTTCCTTTGATAAGTTTAATGATGTTTACTATAACGTTTTCACAATTCATCTTTTCTTCCACCTATTTTACACTTAAACTTTGCTCTTGTATTTCTAATTAAATTAAACTAAAATTCTCAGTTGGTATTTTCGTTGCATTTGGGTTATTAGACATTTTCTTCTTTAGAAATAGATGCTATCAAAATTGCAGTACAATTACTGCCTTTTGATTAATCATATTCATTATTTAAATAATACAAATTGCAACCTGGGAATAATTAAATATAAAAATCATTAATATATTTGCTATTTAACATCACTTTAAAACCATATTTATTCATAATTGTTTCTCATTATTTCTAAAAAAACATTTTTTTTTAAAATTTAATATAGTACGACTTACACAATGAAAATATTTTGCATAGTTTATTCTCAAAAAGTATTGAGAGTCTATTTTTTTTTATGAAAGTAAAGGTTTCATTTTTTCACGAGCATACGGTCAAGTTTTATGAATATAGTTACCAAAATTCTCGGGTAGTTCAGGATACTACAAGTATTCTGAATATTCTCTGTGTTCCATTTCTCTGAAGCTTATTATTCTAGATGCGTTAACAAGGTTTTTAGAATTTCTTTCGCAAAGGAAAATAAAAAGAGCCACAGTTTATGTACTTTACATTTGAAGAAAAGCTATAATTTAAAGCCTTACATGCCATCTTGCTGTATAGATTTATCTGCGCTTTAGAACGGATGAATAACTAAAATATTTCAAAAGCCATTAAACTTTTTTTTAAAAAAAAATCGCAAATTTGGACACATTTTTCTACGAAGATGAAAATTATCAAAATCAATGCTTTATTCTGATCTTTTACAAATGATTAAAAAGAGCACAGATATGCAGCATTGGAGTGAGTTTTAAAATATTAAAAATTTAGACCACAAATGCTTTTCATTTTCTCTAAACTGAGACTTTTTTTAATATTGAGGTCTTGCGCCATTTTCAAACTAAACAAAAAGGGCGCTTGCTTAACAGTCTTGACCTAATAGTCATAAGTAGTTGTTGATAATTCAGGTCAGATATAAAATTCGTCGCAAAATAGTTCCGCGTGGCGACTACAGAGCCTTCCAGACTACGAAAAAGAACGCTGGAAATCAATGGTTGTTCCATCTTTCACTGTTTCCCCCTTGCTACGCAGTTAGTGTTCATTTCTTCACACAGCTGTTGTTATTAATTACTAGTTTGCCAAGCAGTATACCATGCAACACCAGACATGCAACTTCCACTTCCTCAGGTAAAATATTAAATCTTTTTATTTATTTATTTATTTGAATCAGAAAAGAGAGAAAAACGGATATTCGAAACATCTGTTTCCGGCATTTCATGCATGAAGAATAATTCCGTTATTTGGAAAAATTACAAAGTAAATTTATTGTAAGCCAATTCTTTCCTCTTTAATGCATTATTATTTTTGTGTTACTTTTAAAAATAAAATTATAATTGTCCTATTTAGACTTATAGTCAACTAGCATTACGCACATATATATTGGTAGTTATTCTTATCTTTCACGACTCTACTTTTTAGAGTATTTTAGAATATACTTTTCTACTTTTTAGAACATATTTAGTTCTTAACTTACAGTCAGAAAACCTCGCTATCTCGAATTTTTTTAGCGTCCCTTCAACTTTGAGATATCGAGAGTATACTTTATTTGGTTATTGAAATAAAATGCCTGAATATTAAAACATAATAATTTTTAACGGCTTCTGAACAATATAAAAATTAAATTAAATTACCCTCTTTTAATATAAAACATTTCGAGGCCAATTCGATGTTAATGTTTTATGAAATTACTTGTAGTATTTTACAATTGAAAAATTGTTTTACTTCTTTCTTTTCATTACCATTTTGCATATCTTTTCATTGCTTAGGTAGATGTGGCTAATACATTTCTTTTAACGTAAGATTAGAATTCTTGATGAACTGAACTATGAACCATTATAAATCAAATTCAACATCGTTTGAAGAGAAAGATACATTATTTAATTATTATTTTTTTTAATGCAATTATTTCTACTATAGCTGAAACTAGGTACTCTCTCTCGCTGTGGGTTCTCTTTCTAAATAAATAAATCTTTCATTTATTTATTTATTAAATTCCTAGGATTAGTTCACACTCTCCCTATACCTTGTTCAAATTTTCAATCGTTAATAAAATACTTTTTATTCATTAACTCAAGTTCAAATACATTTTTTCAAACTAGTGATGTTAATATAGTTGATGTTAATATGATGATGTTAATATAGTTTTTTTTTTTTCAAATATCAACTTATTAATTAAATAGGGATGAGCGAAAAAAATATAAATGGAATTTTCTGATTGGTTGAGCGTTAGTCATTGTTTTAAATTTTGCTATAAGCGACTAAGTTTTTCACATATTTTTAAGATAACATCAGTGATAATTTCTAACTTACAAAACACTTTTCTAGGGTTCGAATCCCAGTAGATACGAATTCCGCATCCGGCTTGCACTGTCCACAGTGCTGACGTGAAATATCTTCAGTGGTAGGCGAATCATGGGTTAGAGTCAGACTAACCGTGGGAGGTTCTCGTAGTCTTCCTCTCCGTGTAACGCAAATGCGGGCTAGCTCCATCAGAAAGTCCTCCACGAAGGCAAATTTCTCTCAATACTCGATCCAGGAGTTCCCTTGTCTCCTGGATTGGGTTCAAAATTACAAGGCTACGGAGTTGAACATTAGTAGCGTAAACCTATAAAAAATTTTGTTGACCTAAGAAGGAATTAATTGACTTTAAAAAATGTTTTTTTTTTAATATACATTATTTGTTTTTTTTGTTTTGTTTTTTACTTATTTTATTTTAATGACAGATTTGAATATTTGAACCTAATAACGTGCGGGGATAGCCGCAGTCAATATATAATCCAAAAGTCATCAGAGTCTTCTTGGGGCTGCTCACCTTATTTTCTTTGATCGATATTATTTAAGAACCCCACCTAATCCGAAAAACTCCGACTGTGACTCCTAAGAATTTTTTCAACTGCTTAAATTCGTCAAACAATCAGTTATGTGAAATAAAGGCTTAATAATTTAGACATAATTATCAAGAATGACATAACTTCTTTCTTTCAATGATATGACTAGTAACTTTTTTTTAAAATGAAAAATTTTTCTTCACAAAATTTACTATAACACTTATTTAAACAATATGTGTATGGTAATTTTTGAAACTTATTTTTGAAGTATTCGTTTTATGATATAAATTAAAAAGTTGTAATTTTTAGTGCACTAATTTTATTTTTATCAGTACATGTTGTGCAAGCATAAATTGTCATGTATAAAAATTAATTTATAAAACATTGTTTCATTTCATTATGTTTCGTTACTTACTTAATTTGAAAACATATTAATATTTTTATGATAAATAGGGCCCTCCACTTTACCCAATATTCTCGGGCCTGATACTCTGGTAGTTTTAAGTTTAAGTACTTAAATTTCAATTTTGCATATTTTACTAAGTCTCCAGGAAATTTTTAGTGAATAATACAACTATTAAACTCCTTTACCAAAAGATAATTCCAAGCATAGAATAGTTCCAATAGTTATTTGTAATTTTTTTACAATTTATTATGATCTATTATATTTTATTATTTATTATGATCGAAAAATATTTAAATCATATTCATCGATTTTTTTTCCTTCCGTTATTTTAAACAATGTAATTTTAAATGACAAAATACAAAATGCTAACGC